TGGGATTGCATGCGGACCACCAAGTAACCTCTCTGATTCGTCCAGGGATCCCACTGGAGCATCGAAGTCTCCAGCGACTATCACGATGTCCGTTGACCGAGCGCTTTGGAGCAGTAGACAGAGGTCCTTGTAGAATTCATCCTTCATTTCTGGTGAACTGTAATCTGTCGGTGCATACGCGGATACGACGAATAAGCATCGACGCTTCGTTCTGTCGCTGTTGACGCGTACTGAACCATCCAGACGTACGGCGAAAAGGCTGTTAACCGGGATCCAATCGAGAAGTGAACGCTCGGCCTTGACACTTAGCGCAATCCCAACGCCAGCAACGCCACGAGCTTCGGATGCCAAATCGCCTGACAAACGGAGAGTGAAGCTTGAGGATGAGGCTGGATTTGGAGAACAGAGGGAGATGACTGAAGTAGGATCTTGCATACGTGTTTCGGAGACACAGCATACACCTAAATGGAAGGTTTCAAGGGTTCTGGCTAAGGCGTACACAGCATACATCTAAATGGAAGGTTTCAAGGGTTCTGGCTAAGGCGGCTTGTTGACCGGTTGGTAGAGTGTGCGGCTAAGTGAAGAGGGGATTTTGGTTTCACAAATCTGGCAGCCTCTGAGTGGTTTACCTTATTAGTTGAACGCTGAGTGATATGCGGTGAGTCTCGTAAGCAGGAGGCACTTGGGAATACTACTCACAAGTAACTGTGAATTAAGTGCGAATATTTCACCTGACAGACCTTAACCCCTAATCAACATCTGTTCACAGATATAGGTCTTTTCATGTTGATGGAACCCGATTGGGTGAATATGAAAAAAATTTCGCGGTAAACGAACCACTTCATTTTTATCAAACAGATAGAATGGATATCATGATATTCTGGATGAAAGAGTAGAACGAGATTTGGAATTTTGAGAGCAAATTCGAGGGAAATATGATTCATAAAGACTGGAGTTGCAAGAATAATGAGTAGATGCATGAGCGCCACTGTTTGCGACACCCAGCCATATCGCTCAGTGTCTCTGTCCATCAGTGACAGTGACCTCGGGGTCCCCAGCCCGGGGAGCCCAACGGGACCTATGTAACCCAGACTCCTGGTTAGGGTTTTCATACCTTCCATCCGCCTCGGCGAGCATCACTCGCCCAGGCAACCAGTCTGGTGACATGCACAGCACATGCCCCAACTAGCGTAATCTATGGAGGTCAACCACTTGCTCCAGTCAAAGAAACTATAGAGAAAGTATTTCGAATTCAAAGATAGTACAACTAGAATGATTCAGTCTGACAAGGACGGTATATGCTACATATGTTGAAGGCAACAATGGTAGGGGGAAAATCCACTGGTCTAAGATGAACGGCTACATGCAAGTGGTCCGGTTCTCGGGGCCTATATTCTCTGGTAGTATGCATTTCTGTGAATCTCTGGATTTCAGTGGACTGACATGAAAAAAAACTACACGGGGACAGATTACCTCGGAGGAACAGATTCCACAGTCGGGTCAGGACAGGGAGAAGCCAATCGTGCCTTGAGTGCTCGTGCACCAATGTCTTTCATCCGTGCAGCCTGGCTGGCGATCATTGTTTTCAAAGTGTTGATATCCTCACGCGATTTTGTCCCGGCTGATCCACCGACTTGTTCCAGAGTGCCAATCGTGTGGTCTCTGTTCGCATAAGGATTAAAAAAATTGTGACAGATTGAGAGGAAAATAAAGTAGCGAGAAATGAATCCACCGTAAAAAAATATTCATTTCGGACCGCACCAATATAGTTTGTACTGGCATTCACATTGTACTGTCACACGGTTTCGGCTTCTATCTTTAGGCATCCCCTCTGGTTAACCAATACGGAACAGGCAAACCAGGGGGACCGAAAACGTTGGGAACAAACATTCACTGTGGTCTTCGAAATTGAAGAATAACAACGAATAATAATAATAACAGTATTTCCTTTCTATTTCTATTGAATATTTAGCCCCAGAAAAAATTTTCAAGAAAATAAAAGGATGCATAGGTCAAACATTGTCTTAGAAAAGATTGAACTTAGGCAGAAATGGTGACATTAAAATACCAGGTGGGTATGTGATCAGATCACCCATCGAATTCAATTGGCGCGTTAACATAGTGCATTGTTTTATCAAATCATGAACAGGACTATAATGAAGCAGTTCAAAACATGAGTCGTCTGCTCAACAAACTACTGAGATCAGCGAACCCANCCCCGGCAAAAGTACTTCTGCCTCTGTACGCCAACTCTGTTCTGATCTACCAATTCGAGTGGATGCAGAGCGACCTACTCGGGCAGAACAGAACGACAATTACGTAACCTTGTGATGATACATATTCCCAATTGAGTCCGAAATCAGATGACGCGATCAGGGTCAAATCCGCCGCATAGAAACGATGGTCGAAATTACAAGACCCTGGTCTTCAGACATTGCTCAAAATCTATGGACGACGCAACACGAGTCACAAGACTGCTCAAGATTACTGAAGCAATCGTTATCAACCGATGTGCCAATAAAATAAGATTGTTAGTTTGTCCTGGTGCCATGGGTTTGTTACTCCTCCCCTCTATTTTATGTTGGTCTGTTTTAATGTATTGTACATTTCTGCGTTTTCGTGCTAGAGCCTGATAGAAACATCGTTTTCTGCAGTATGCATCAAGTTGAGATGCAGTGAAATCGTCCTGGACATAAATCGTGTTGTATTGCCATATGACTTTTTATTTTGAAACTATTTTCGGGAAAGACTTGCTTCATTGGAGGATTTCGTTAAGCAAACTGTGCAACGTTTTTTTAGCATGTACCTAATCAATACATCACTCCTTTACTTTCGAACTACCAAGTGCTTTAATTTACTAACTGGCGCGCGTACCGGAAAGATACGTGGTGGGAGATTCGAACAACAGGAGGACCTTAGTCTGAGTTCGGACCAAAATAATAATCAGATTTAGATGATGAGTGTGCAAAAACAGCCGCTCTTAGTGGTCTACACGGTTGAATTCTGACTATGCACCAAGCGGCGTATCGCATTTAGTGACTGAATCCGGTAAAAGGTGAATACCTTGCAATAGTTAAACTTTCGATTTGGCTAAAATGGTAGATTGTAAAAACAACTAAACAATTACGGATGCGCAACAACCGCACATACGACACACCTTCTGTCGCATCAATAGCTTTTATTTTAGGTGCGTGTTCTAACATTTGATTCGTCTCTTTTAAGCTCTTTTTTCCTCGTTTTTCAGTCTATTGAAGTTTATCCATCAGGCGTTACCTTCTGACCTGTGTTGTGTCCGGATCTCGTTTGATCACAATGTACACACAACAAGATATCACGCGATGACACACGAGGAACACACGTACCTCAACGGCCACACTAATCGTCTAGCCTCACGCGTACGATCACAGCACAGATTGGACGCCACGGGCACTAGTAGCCTTCTCCCAGCTACGTAAGCAAGAACACAGTTAGTGAACAGCGAACGTGTACTCGACACACAGGAAGCAAGTCAATTTACAAGTTTTACTCTGATGCTTATATGTGACTCCAAATAGCATCGATTAATGCAAGAAAAAGATTATGCCAATCAAGTAAACAGTTAGCAAATTTCGATCGATCATAAGTCACGGATCGGACGGACGGAGTGAATGTCTCCGTATGACGCGATATGATTCATTATTCTCCGCGAGATTGGTATTGATTAGAGATGCTCCGAATTGCAGATACTCGAAAAATAGTCAGTTTTAGGTAAAAATAGCCTTCTAACCTAACAACCTGTCTGCCCACCGATCTGTTACGCTACACATTTATCTGGTTTACATGACTGTGACCTGAACCGTCAAATTGTATTGCACTGAACGTATTCTGGATTCCTCGAACTTTTTCTTGGAAGCACGTTGGCTAATTCAAGTAGACAGCGTCTTTCTTTGGAGTGCAAATTTACAAAGAGATTGATAGCTGACAAAGAAGCTTGGTGGACGTCAGGGGTGCAACATTTGGGAGCACCGGATGATTGTTACAACCCAGCAAGGGTACCAGTATCAAAAGACAGCGTGCTAGTGAAACAAATAGCCCAAAGGACAACCGAACAATAAATGGTGTTCACTGAAGCTAGATATGTTGAGCAGAGCCGTTCACATCGTAGTTCGAATAAACATCTGCACTAGTGAGTAATCTTACGGCACCTGCGTCCTGCCACCTGTTAAAGGAACTGCCAAAAGAAGTAGAGATTGGGGGGGGGGGGGGA